ATTTCAAGATCATCTAAGTTATTGAATTGACATAAATCATTAAAATGTTTCTTTAAACTGCGATGGAGAGGTACAGTTCTAGGTAATAAGACATTATCAGTAGACTTATCTTCATCTTAATCCAAATCAAATCCTAGTACATCTTGAGAAATAGTAGGTATTTGTTCTTTTATTTGGAAAGATTCTTGTTGTCTTAGAGGGTGAACTTCCTGAACAGGAACTTGTGGCAAATCCTTCACAAATAAATCCCTGGAGTTGTTAATACTGGAGTCCATTCTGGAGGGACATACTTCCTGGTTCTGACTATTCAAGGGACCAGTGGTACAAAAGGCTAAACTATTCCTTCTGTATCTGTTTTGCTGCCTGCTTTCAGAACCAAGTTATACAAGCACAAGCCACAATCATCTAGAGGCTTGAAGACTTGTTCACTGGCCACACACAGCTGTGCTAGAGCACTGAGGAAAGACGTGCTGAGCAATTCACTAATCACAGCTATCAGTCACCCATTTCAATAATAATCAATCTAAACTATTAATTCATGGCTTTGACATTTTTTCCCTGAGAAATTGAGTCTTTGGCAAGAAAATACCTGAGCAGATTGTTCTGTTGGTTGTGAAGTAAGTTTTCCTTTCAGTACATAGAGATGACATGTGAGGTATTAACATTCTTTCCTCAGCTGTAGGACGATGTCTTGGGCTTCTCTCACTTTGGACTTTTCATTTTCCAGAGCTAAACCCAGCATTCTGTTGTTGTCTTGGTAGTTCTTTAGCAGTGTAGAAGTGTTGGTGATTATCTGGCATGGAGCAGCTATAAAAGACTTTTGTTTGCTAATCTCTGCCAAGTTTTTATTCCTTTTCTCTTTCATTCGTTTCTTTATGTCTTCAAGACTGTCTGGAAAGGACCTTTTAAAGCACCTTTCCTTGGCCATCTTTTGCCTTGGGCCCCACTTCTGCCATGGCTGTACCCTGCTCCTTACATCCCATGGCTCCGCTAGGGTCCCGCCATGCGCCCCGTGCTCGGGACCCCGAGGCCTGAGGTACCGTCTCTGCTCACCCGCCGACAACCGCAGCCACATTCGAAATTCTCACCAGGCTTTCATTCTTAATGAAACAGTACACCTTATGCTGCTTGCTGTATTGCCTGATTTTCCTTCTTTCAATTTCATGATTTCTTTTATCCTCTTCTATGTATAGTTGGATTACCTTGACATTGTAATGTTGTTAAAGGGTCTTAAGTTGGTTGTGAGTGACAGGTTTCTAATAATGACACCTTAACTTGAAATCCAGGAGATAGCTCCTTTTCTGCCAGGGAGAATTGACTCATTAATGTCTGGGATCACTAGTATTTTCCTTTTTAGCTGCTCACTTTTCACTTTCCCTTCCCCCTATAAGCTTTTGGACTCCATCAGTAGGTAGATAGATAGAAGACAATCTTCTGCAGCAGCTTCTTCAAATATTTCATAAACTCAAGAGTAAATCCAGTCTTACATCAAGAATTCACCACCACTGTAGCCATAACTGTCTCATTCTCACATGATGAAGCATTTAGCACAGTGCCTGGCCTATAGTAAGCATTCAATAGGTGTTGGCTATATAGTAATTATTATTTTAGTTTCTAGTATTTCCCTGGAGCTGGATGTCTAGTCTCATTTTGGAATTACTGTTGTCATATTTTCTGCCTGGAATAGTAGGGGTGTTTCAGTGTTTATATCATAGGCTCTAATGTGGGATTCAGATTTCTCCAGCGTTGGTCATTTGATCCTAAGTCCCACATCACTGCTGACTGCATGGCCTTTTGAAAAACTGATCACAGGAGTGAGGGTCCCACTCCCAGCATTTAACTGAATCAAATGCATATGGAGGAGTAATCTGCTACCTAGTGAACTTTCTTTTACTACCTTTCATTATCCCCCAGTGTTACGGTGTCATTTTAGTGGAATTTATCTTGGGCAGCTCAAAATTCCATCATCACATTCAGCTTTAGTTTGGTGTATGGGGTGCTCAAGGCCTGTTGGGGGGAGGTCCTAGCATCATCCATTAGGACAGCAGGTCTTGCTCCACCCCGGTTGTGTCTTTTTTATCACCCTGAGAGCTTTTTTAAAACTACAGATGCTCAGGTCTATCCCAGAGAGTCTGATTGAATTGGTTTCAAGTAGGGCTCAGTCAGTGGTATTTTTAAAAAGCCTCCTCAAGTAATTTGGAGGATTGAGGACCATTGAGTGGCAGGAAAAGACTTAGGACCTACTGACTTCATTTTTACTTGTGCTAACCTGACTTGTTCCACTCTCTCTCCACAACGTAAGCATGTCCCCTGCCTCACCCCTTCGTGTGTCCTCTGCTTCTGCAAGCTCAAACAACAGAGCAGAAAGAACAGAGCTTTAGGTCAGAGAAATGTGATTTCAAATCTTGTCTGCGTCTTGTAAACGGCATGACCTTGGAAAGATGCTTACATTTACCAAATTCAGTTTCCCATTTACCTAATGGAAATAATAGGACTTTCATGTAGATGAAGATCAAGTTACTCATGTGATATGGAAACACTGAGTGCCGTACCAAGCTTGTAATAGGGCCTCAGGATATCTAGCAGTCTTTCTTTTTCACCCCCTTCTGTCTTCAGTTTCTTCATAGGTAAAATAAGGGGCTTGGAAAACATTTAAATTACCTCTATGCCCTAAAATCCAAGGAGTCAGATTCTCTGCCTTAAACGATGTGATTGGAGAGTGTCACATATTCTTTTCTACAGATTCAGTTTATGTGCAAGAAGAAAGCTATTGGCACACAGTTGACAGGGAATGAATTTGGAGTTTCTTTCAGTATTGTGTCCACATGTTGTCATTTGGTGGCCCTTTCAACCCGGCACATCTATGAACTGGCTGGCCACGGTTGGGGATGTGGTTTGAGTTGTGGAAACAAGATTTTCTGATTGAGTAATGCCATCCATTTAATGTGGGCATTAATCTTGTGCCCTTGACCACCACTCATTTGCTTCAACCGCACAACCATCCAACTTACTTTATACTCATAATAATGGTGGTAGCACCTGGCATTTATGTTATAGCACCTATTTGAAGTGATACACTTCAGAGCTGCCCAGGTGAAATCAGGAGACGTCTTTCAACTACTACCTGGCTAGTTAGTTTTTGTCAAGAAAATCAAATATTGCTGCCTCTTGATCCATTCCCAGAGAATTACAGGAGATTTCATCCCAATATAGCTTGGTATCAGGGACCCGTTCGTGATTCATGACAATGACTCAGGAAGGCGTCTGCCTTGCTTCTTTGGGGCACATATCTGCTTTTGCCTGGGCATCTGGTTCTGAATGGAAGCTCAGGCAAATGGGAGAGGGTCTAAGCTTCTATTATTTCCTACTTTAGGCTAACAAAAGTTGAGGACTGGGAGAGTCTTCCAATGTGCAGACTGAAGGGAGTTGCTTGTGTTACAGGCAGATAAATTGTCTATGGGAAGAGGCATTTTGATGATGACACTATGATCCTCTGCTGTTTGCTGGTGCCTGCAAAGTGTAACATGGGATGCAGTGCAATTTTAGGGTTATGAGCAAGAGTTTAGAAATCATGACAGACTGGATTTAAATTTTGGCTTTATCACTACTTATAGCAAGAGTCAGCAAACTGTTTCTGTAAAGGGCCAGTTGGCAAATATTGTAGGCTTGCAGGCCGTATGGTGTTAGTCACAACTACTCAGTTCTGCTGTTTTGGTCAAAAGGAGCCATAGACAATACATAAATGAATTGGCATGGCTCTGTTCCAATAAAACTTTATTTACAGAAACAGGCAGTGGGCCAGATGTCACTTGCGGTTGTAGTTCACCCACCCCTGATCTATAAGATCTTGCACTAATAAGTTACTTTAATTATCTAAGTTTCTCTTGAAGATTAAAAGAGATAATGTATTTAATAGAACACCATATTCTTGGCATGTGGTAAAGCACTTGAAAATAGTAGTTGCTATTATTTATTAAAAATACTGTATATCATATAATTAAAATGCCACTGATTTTAAGGTGCATCTGGATTTTAGAGATTAAAATGTGATAAAAAGCCTTAGAATTGATGAAATTTAGTAATATCAATTAATTATAGTAATGAGGTTATATGTAGGATTTTAAGTCTTACTCTACCAGTGGTAGTTTAAAGCTTCTTGCATAACATTTCTTTGTGATGTTTGTGTTGTCAGAGACACATGTCATGAACTCTTGGGACACGTTCCACTACTTGCGGATCCTAAGTTTGCTCAGTTTTCACAAGAAATAGGCCTGGCATCTCTGGGAGCATCAGATGAAGATGTTCAGAAACTAGCCACAGTGAGTTCATTTTCAACTTTTTGTCCATTTCCAACATTGATGTCCATTTATAAGGTACAGAAGGCTTTAGAGATACTATGAATTATAAGGCAAACATTCTGGAGAGGGCATGGTGACTTTACCTTTTCCCATGTTGTGTTCCTTAAGCACAATGTGTTCTTTGCTTATTAACCATCAAAATATTTGTATTTTATCCTTCCTATTCAGGGATTGGCTAGATGGCAATATTTTAGGCTTGCAGGTCATAAGATCTCTGTCACAACCACTTAACTCAGCCACTATGGTGCAAAAGCAGCCAAAGATGATATGTAAATTAATGAATGTGGCTGTGTTCCAATAAAACTTTACTTATAAAATCTGGCTGGGGGCCAAATTTGGCCTGCGTGCTGAAATTTGCTGACTCTTATTCTAGGTCAACGTTTATTTCCTGGAGACACTAGTAATAGTGAGAGCTATACATTTATGGAAAGGAGGGGTGGTGCTTGGGGCTACCTATAGTTAATTGAAATGGGTGTGAGAACACACAGCTGGAGTAGCAATAATACAGTCTAAACAAGGATTCTAAGTGCAAGAGCAGAAAAAGAGTTAATGGGTAATATGGTCTCAGCACAGGTCTTCTCAAAACAAGCAATGTGAGAGGTGAGGTGTAATGTTGGTAGCTACTGTTAAGACACTGAAGAGCCAGATTAGGTGAGCTTGTTTACCCTACCTTAGCTACATCTCTCAAAGTCCCAGGGTAAGAAAGAGCAGGTTTAGCAAACTCACTTACAGGGGCCAGTCTGTCAGCCTAAAGGAGCAAAGCTACGGGGAGAAGGAAAAATCAGAACCTAAGTTGTGTGTATTTGACACAGATATACATTGATGGCTTATCAGGAATGCAGGAATATCTTCACTCCTGCCAGGAAATGAGTTTTCTCCTAGATTTCTTAAGACACACAGTCCTTCCTTTCTGCATATCTTTTGTTTCCTGCATTTGAGAGAGTTATAGGAACTGAGAAATATTTTTCTGCTCAGAGAGAAACAGCTGAGCAAACACCACACTGCCGGTGTCAGTGCGGGGGTGGGCAGGGGTCAGAGGGGGCCGCAGTGAGCTTGGGAGAGCCTGCCTCACTCCGCAGGAGGCTGGGCCTCAGCTCCCACTCACGGCTGCCATGGACATGCATGGCCTTTGTTTTGCCAGATCTCCAAATTTTTAAGAAACCGGACATCTAGATTTCTAAATGGAATTTAATGATTTAAAATTTTTGGCTCATAAAAGAAATTACACCATTATAAGATGAAGAACAAATATTCATAGATGGAATCAGGATCTTGACTTCAGTTTGTAACCTCTGCTCAACGAATTGTAGTTCATGTATATTGGTTACCTATTACTGTGTAATGAGTAATCCCAAAACTTAGCAGCTTAAAATGATGAATATTTATTATCTCATAGTTTCTGTATTTGGGGGATTCAGGAGCGGCTCAGCTGAGAGGCTGTGGCTCAGCGACTGCCCTGGGGTTGCCGTCAAGATGTGGGCTGGCCTGCAGTTGTCTGAAGATGTGGGAGTTGCTCCTCAGGCGGCTCATTCAAGGGGCTGCTGGCAATTGGCTTCCTCCAGAGCAAGTAATGAGAAAGAGAGGTAGGGAGGGACAGAGAGGGAGACAGAAACAGAGAGAGAGGGGGAGGGAGGTAGGGAGACTGAGGATGGTGGGAAGGAGGTTGTAATCTTTTGTGACTTGATGGCGTGTTGCTCACACCCATGTTCTGTTCATTATAAAGGACTCACTTCAGTTCACACTCAAGGGGAGGGCAAATAGACTCCATCTTTTGGGGAAAAGTGTGTCAAAGTATTTGTCGACCTATTTTAAAACCACTTCACCATGAGTCCTGTTATTTCATTCTCAAACCTTGGCTCTGCCTTTAAACTTTACATTTTGGAAACTTTTCAGTGCCTTTCAAATTTCCCTTGAAATTTTCTGGTTTCAGCTTTTGACCTCCTATAGCTCATACTGTTGATCAGGTGTGACTGTATTGCTTACTAGTCTGACTCTGAACAGCCACAAACTGGGACCCAACTCTGCCAGGCCTTGTGTGTGTGTGTGTGTATCTGTCCGTGTCCATGTCCGTGTCCAAAGAGAGGAGGAGGAGAAGGAGTAAGGTAGAACTTCACAGATATGACTGTAGGTAGATCATAATGAGTGATATTATTCCTTTCTTAAAAACAGTGACAAGAAAGCAGTTTTATTGTCCCTTATTTTTAGATTCCATTAAGTGATCATTAATTAATTCCATCACTCAAACTAACATTTACAAAGACTGTGATATGGTCCTTACTTTTTAGAGAAATTTACATAAAAATTTAGGTAAAATTAAGATTTTTCAGAGGAGAGGAAGTTTGTGTTGTGTCTAGAAAGATGACAAAAAATAAGTCAAGTTGTGAAGGGGGAGGGAGGCGCATAAAGGACAGTTTCAGCCAGAATAAGAAATCTTTCTGGATTCGGGGCTCAGCAGAGAATGCCTGCTCTAAACTGGGCCATGCTGAAGCCTTTTGCATTAGTTTTCTACCACTACCGTTAACAAATTACACATGGCTTGAAGCAATGCAAATTCGTTATCTCCTAGTTTCATAAGATTATAAGTCTGACACAGTTAAAATCAAAGTGATCTCTTATTGGGCTAAAATTATGAAATTTGGGCTGAAATCAAGGTGTCATCAGGGCTGTGTTCCTCTCTGGAGGCTCTGGGGGAGAATGTATTTCTTTTGCTTTTTCAGCTTCTAGAGGTTACACTCATTCCTTGGCTCATGGCCCCTTCCTCCATCTTCAAAGCCAGCAGTGCTGCCTGTCTCTGACTTTCTTCCTTTGTCACATCTCTCTGTGTCTCCCATTGACTATAGCTGGGAAAGGTCTTTTGATTTGAAGGACTTCAGTGAGTGGATTGGGTCCACCTGGATAATGATGATAATCTCCCTGTCTCATGGTCCATACCTGTAGCTGTATCTGGAAAGGTAACATATTCACAGGTCCTGGGGGTTAGGACGTGGGCACCTTGGGGGTGTTAGTCTTTGTTTCTATTTTTACACACATAAGAAAAAACCAATATGTGTACCTTGAAATCTGTTTTCCTAGGGCCAATAAATTTATAGGATGAGTATGTTTTCCTCTGGAATTTAAATTCCTTAGCATGATTCTAATACCCTTGGCTGTGGATTGCTGTAGCTCCAACAGCCAAAAACGCTTCCATCGATTAGGGATCATTAGGTCATAATCATGTTTTTCTCTTTTTCTGTCATTTTTTTCATTGCCCTTTCTGTGGGAAGTATCTGCCATTCTGCAAAAGCCAATTCAAGTCAACAGTTATTCGTTAAGTAGCTTAAGAATCCTAGGTACCATGACGTAGGCATAGGGAAAAGAAAAAGAGATAGCGCATGCTTTAAATAGCCCACAGTTGAGTACACAGAGACCAGAAAACCCAGAGCCAGTGCCAGCCTTTGTGCGCATACATGAGCAGATGTATGGGAGAAGTGGAGCTAGGGTGAATCGTCCAAGTGTGTGTGGGCTCCAAGTTCAATGGCAGAGGCTGGGATTCAGAATTGGGAGCAGGGCCCAGCAGAGAGGTTTTGCTCTAGGTAGGAAATAACTGGTAACAGGTCAGGGAGGAATGAATGTCCCCTAAGGGGCCAACCTGCCTGGAATCTTGCAGTAGTTTTGACAGTTAAAAAGCCAAGAGAGTGTAAACTTGCAGGAGACTTTAACCCAAAAGATTTTGAATCTCTTCTTAGTGCTGTGGAGAGTTTCAGGGTGGGAGGAGTGGTGTCTCACCCTGGTTTTGTCTGATTCACTCATTTCTGTTTTCCTGATATTGCATGAGCTCCCAGCCCAACGCCCTTTGACTTTTTACCTCTTACAAACTTTACATTTCCTGTTCTTTCTAATTTTGTGGGCTCTCCATTTACTTAGAAAAGTGTTTTGCAGACCAAAGAAACTTGGAAAGCTTTTTCTGTGTGATGTGGAGAGTAGGGGGAGGGTAGACTCATGGTGTGAGGTTGCTAGGGAGATTTTTCCTGAAAATTAACTTCTAGAACCACATCCCATCCCTGAATTAAGAACAGAGTGAATGGAAAATGGCTGAAGATGGTTTTGGAAGAAAACACGGTTAGAATCCAGCCAGGCAATTTCAAAGTAAATCCTGGAAAAAAATAACCTATTGGATAACATGAATATTAATGGCCCTCAAACCTGACTGAAGCTAAAAGCCCAATTTAAGAATCCAGTTGCAAAGACTAAGAGATTAAGAGCTAAATCCTCACAAGGAGGGTAAAAAGTCCAATGGTGGGGGTATAGTGGTGGTTTGTGAGCCCTCTTAGCTGTCCAGATGGGAAATGAAGGTTTTAGTAGCTGATTTCCTCAAAGTTGTTCCCAGTATGTCCTCTGAAGAAGTACTGGAGTAAAATGAGAGATGAGGTAGATGTACCAAAGGAGAAAGATCCATGGGGAGGGCAAACGGAAAACCACAGAAATTACTATTTATGTGGAACAATGAGACAGGCCATAGAATTCTTTTATTCTAGGTGAGATTTATATTATTAATGACTGTTTATATAGTGCTTGGTTTTCCTTGTTTAGTGAATTTAAGGACTTATGAAAAAGAAAGTCATGCCTGGCGAAAACAGACACCTAATAACGTCCTGTGAAGTGCGGTCAACAAGTCTGTCTAAGGGAGAAAACAGCCTTCATGAGGACTAATTGGCTCTGCCAAATTTTGTTTTGTTCAAAGCTGCTTTTGAGCTTCTGGGTCTGATTTCAGAGGGACGAGGCTCTTGCCGAAAGCTGTAGCCTCTTTCTTGTTTTATTTCTGCATGGTATTTATTTTGACATTTTAATAATGCTCGGGTTTGAGGATGAAGGTATTCCCACTGTTTCATGTGGGCCATGGTTTCTACACTCTGCAAACCATTTAGATTAAACTCTTTTGTGTCTGAAGAAATTGAGGATGGTGCTCGGTAAATGTGTTTCAG